CCGACCACGCCCACCCACCATAGGGTTGGTAGGTGAAGGGGTGAGGCGGGGGGGGCCTAGAATTCCCAATATTACCCTACTGACAGAAACTTTTTTAAGTATAAATCTAAAATACACATGTACAAATAAGATAGTATTGTGAAAAAATGACAATTATAAGATAAAACTTTTATTTTTATCAATTACTTACCAGAATCTGAAGAGACTCCTAAAAAAATTAAAAATAATAATTGTAATTTATTTAATAATTTAAATTTACTAATTTTTTTTCTAGGAAAATATTGGATAATTGGATCATGTACAAATAAAAAATTTTTAAATCATAAAATTTGAGAAGAGATATTTGTCATTTGAAAATTACACTAAACCTAAAATCTTTAGTATAATCCATTTTGTTTCAAATTAATAATGGCGAATAAAAAAATAATGTGTTCCATATTACCTAATAATTGTATTAAGAAATATACCAATGTCGCTGCTATTAATGAGTTAACTGTTATCTGAAAAAATAATTAAAACATTTTTTATGCATTAGTGTTGTAGTATTATCATCTTTATTAATAGAAAACCATAAGTAATATAATTTGACTGTCATAATATTTATTACGCCAATAGTATCTAGTAGTTGATAGTTAAAAAAACTTTAGCAATTTTTTAAAACTTTGGTAGCCATAAGTTAGATTTTTTTACATCACTGAAAATTATTTTTTCAAATGTTAAAATTATAAAAAATTAATTTTTAATGGCAATCAAATTTTTATAGCTTAGCCTGAAATATAAGTCTGCTTGTATTGGACATACTTACCATTTTTTAATTATTGAAAATTTTTTTTATTTAAGAAAGTTTTAAAATTTAAACGGTTAAATTGAAATTATGATTGTCTAATTACTAACTGGAAAGTATTTTGAATAAAAATGCCACGTACTATATACGAATATATATCAGTTACTTTATTTTTAGATGAAAACTTTACGTGGTCGTCTTAAAACAGGTGTTGTATACTTTTACTTTNTTTACGTGGTCGTCTTAAAACAGGTGTTATATACTTTTACTTTGACACGATTTACGTCGCAAAAGTTTATCACGAGCAACATTTAATTTTAATATTTTCTATTTACTTAAGAAAAAAAAAATAACGAGTCATTTTCATATATGTAATTATATCTATTAAACTATCTTTTTATATAATAGAAAAGGAAAAAAACGCTTTTCTGGGAAAATTACTTGACGTGAAATTTTTTTTTTCAAGTAAATTATTCGGTCATCAGACTCCGGGAAAATTATTAGCGAAGGTCGGAAAATTTTTGCCACTCGCCCGTGAGCTTTTTAAAATTTCGACCGATTTTGAGAAAAACGCTCGCTGATGCCAGCGTTTTCGGCTTAAGGTGTGAAATTTTACTAGATCCGCCTAATGACATTTCTNATGCCAGCGTTTTCGGCTTAAGGTGTGAAATTTTACTAGATCCGCCTAATGACATTTCTGAGATATAATAAAAAAATCCATTCAATCTGTTCATTTTTCACTGTTTTACGAGTTTTTTTTTTCAAGTCCACGCGCATGGTTTTAATATGGGGATTGACTAATTTCTGCGCATACATTTATTTTGAACCTTAATTTGTGTATTATGTATTTTTATTAGGACACTATTTTGCATTTGCACACAACACCATATTTTATCAAGGAATGTTATATGTTATAATTATATAACAAATTGATTTTTGAATACGCCAAAGGGGAATACTTTTTTAGCAAACGTCTACATTAGGGTGGAACGAAATATTGAAAATGTTGATAATTGAATTCTAATAGAAAAAAAAAGTTGCAGTTTAGTCTCCTGATTATGGGAGATAAAAAAAAAAAAAAATTTTTTTATATCTTCAGGTGCCGCAAGAGGGTTGAAAATTTGACTGTGAGGGTAATTTTTCCGTTTTTGTCACTTATCTTTTAATCTATTCTATTCACAGGAAAAATTATAGAATTAAATTTATAGAACTAAATGTTTACCATAAAAAATGTCATTAGCAAAAAAGCCGTATGTATAATACTTAGTCATTAAAATTAAAAAACAACACATTTTTATCTTTACCGTTGAAATCGTTTTTATTAGTTTATTTAAATATTGCAGACGAAATATTCAACATACAATAAAAATGTTCGTATAAAAATTGTTTAGAATTTAATTGTTTATAATTTTTGTTGTGTGTATCATATTTTTTACCAAACGTAGTTGTTATAATCAAGTATTAGTTTGCAAAAAAGTCTTTTTCCCTCCATCTTAGTATAAAAGTGTTAATATCTTTTAAAATATTGCTTCAAATTTTTTTATCGACCGGATATTTTTTTATTTAAATCACCTTTTATAAAAAAAATAAATTTTTAGGAATATTAATAGTAGAGTTGAACGAAAACAAATTTTATTTTGCAAATTTTAATATTACTAGAAAGTTGTGGTCCATAATCAAATATGTATATAAATAATCACAATCTTAAAATTATTACAAAATTTTACGAAATTTACAGAACACATTACTTAAGAGTTTTAAATGTATTTTTGATTTATTGTAATGTATTAAATTTTTATATAAGTAAATTTTTTAACTTAAACATTAACATTAACGTAAACATTAACTTAATTAAATTGAAAATATTTTTTGGAATTAAAATGAGGCATAATCCTACGAGACTCAATCCTAGCCCTTATAACACCATCCCTTCTAGCTTGTCCGCATACAGCTGCTGATGCTTCTGTTACTAATTTTACGCTTCTTTCAACAGCTTGTGTATGACAAGGTAAATAAAAAATTTCTAAGGTGTTCTTCTTGTGACTTAATACAATCTAAAATACAATTGAAATTTAAGTTATTATAAAAATTAAGTGAACAAAAAATTATACCTGTCTTAAGGTGTCTTGATCAATGTTTGATGTAAGTGGAGGTTCAGTGACTTGAGTTTTTCCCCAATCAATTAGTTCAACGTAGTCTGTAGCATTAAAATTTAACGGTGGGATTTCAAAAGAGCGAATCGATTGATCATTTTTATTCTGCCGAGCATTAATAATTTTGGACAAAGCTTTTTTTCTGATGGCGTAACGATTATCGAGTAACATACATATCAGTATATTTTCAGGTGAGCCAAAATACGCATTTCGTTGAATAACAGGGTCAATAATTTTTAATAAGTTATTAGGTAGATACCGTGAAAATTTTATGGTCCTCCAAAGATGTTTTGATCCAGATATACAAAATGGATTAATTTTTATATGAAACCACATGGGACCATACACTTTTAAAATAAATTCTGTTAAAATTTTCAAATTTTCTGTTGGAGAACTCGTACTAATATATAGACGTAAAATTCGATTTGCAGTAGTAAGCCACCTAGAGTGGGCTAGCTTCCCTGGATTTCTTCTAGATAAATCAATACTACACTTACCACTAGAAATACTTTGACATATTTCAAACAAATATTTTTGATCACTGCTTAAATCAACTTCATTTTTTAAAAAAGGTAAGTTGCCTTCAATACGAACAAATTTAACTACTGGAAGTTTGTGACATATTTCTAATTGTTTGCCTAGTGATCCGGAAAATCCAATTGGCCCTGATGTTTTCCCATCTAGGTGATTGAATAAATGACGCAAGGGAAGCTCGTTAGCATGGAGTAAACAAACAAGCCACTGCAGAGGTTTTTTTAAATATTCTTCTATTTGACGAATTACTCCTGTTTTAAAACCGGTGTTGGTAACTGTGCCATCACAACCAATTGCAATAATTTGTGAAGTACTTAAATTATTTGTTTCCAAAAAATGAATAATACTATTTTTAATTTCTAAAGCAGATCCGCTTGTTGGTGTTGTATGGCCAATGTATTTCGATCCTGGTTCTTGAATAAGTGATATATGTTCTTCAGTGATAATTTTTCTATAATATTTAGTTCCCTCTTGATGATTTATTATAGTTTTATCTTTACGCCCATCAAAATATAATCCTAAAATAAGTTCATTTTCTAGTTTTTGTAAATCTAAACGTTTTTTTTCTCTTGCTCTTCGGACTTTCATTCTATCTACAACACTGTTTTTATTATCGACTGAAATAATACCAATATCCTGAAGTACAGCACTTGCAATTTTAGCAGCTGATCCATCTGAAATTCCAGTTCTATCGCAAGCCAAAGCTAGAGCCGGTAACTTAAGTCTCATCTGTGAGTTTTTTATATTAGATGACGATGTTGATGGTTTTGAAGTTATTGTAAAATCTTCGTCAGAATTATTATATTCATCATTAATTTCAACAGATTCATCAAATTCAATATTAACTTCATCTAATTTAGATTTATCATAAGTTTCTAATAACTTATGCCTTTCAATTCGATTTGCATCAACTTCTTTTCTTATAGCTTTTTTTTGAAACTTTTTAGTAGTTGAAATGTCAACTAAAGATATAAACATTTTTCTGGTTGTTCTTTGATCTTTAATAAATATTTGTTCAATATGTGGAACTTTTCGAGATTTTTCACATGTACAAGTACTAAAATCAATACATTTACATGCCGCAATGTCAAAAAGACTACTTCTTGCTTCAGTTTGGAGTTTTTCCACTTTTTTTTTATACGTCTCACAATATCCCCTGCCCTTCGCTGACTTTAGTATATTCCGATACTTGTCATGGTACGTTTTAATTAATTGTAATACTCGCGTGTGTGATACTATTGGAATTGATGCTTTGTGCCATATATTTTCTATATTAGTTGCTACAATTTCAGCTATAGAGCTTACACTTGGCTCTTTTGAAGTAATATCGGGTTTAAGTTGATGTTTTACATATAAATAATATTGCATAACGTCTTCATAAGTTGGTAGTACATTATTACTAAGTTCTTTAGCATCTCCAAAAATTAAACATTTTGATTTATTTCTTGTCAATACACCAGCCATTTTCAACAAATATTTAACACACGTTGCGCATAAAATTAACTAAACACGACTCCGTACGAATGCACAGTGATATTAAATGCAAAAGCAAGTTCATTTATTGAAGTGACAATGAAATATTATCGTATCATAAACTTATTAAGATAAGATAGGGCTTAAATAGAAAAACCCAGTAATCATAAGAAAACAATATTACTATATTTCAAATGCCTTACGGCACTTCTTAATTTTAAACTAGACTAGTGAAATTTTATAAGTGATATATAGGAACTAAAATACATATTTCCCCAACTATTAGAAAGTTAAAAATCAAAATTTAATTATTCAATCCACCCTATTACTCGATTATAACAACTACGTTTGGTAAAAAATATGATACACACAACAAAAATTATAAACAATTAAATTCTAAACAATTTTTATACGAACATTTTTATTGTATGTTGAATATTTCGTCTGCAATATTTAAATAAACTAATAAAAACGATTTCAACGGTAAAGATAAAAATGTGTTGTTTTTTAATTTTAATGACTAAGTATTATACATACGGCTTTTTTGCTAATGACATTTTTTATGGTAAACATTTAGTTCTATAAATTTAATTCTATAATTTTTCCTGTGAATAGAATAGATTAAAAGATAAGTGACAAAAACGGAAAAATTACCCTCACAGTCAAATTTTCAACCCTCTTGCGGCACCTGAAGATATAAAAAAATTTTTTTTTTTTTTTATCTCCCATAATCAGGAGACTAAACTGCAACTTTTTTTTTCTATTAGAATTCAATTATCAACATTTTCAATATTTCGTTCCACCCTAGTCTACATCCTACACATTTTACTATATTTTATTTTTGAATTTTCCTGATTTTAATAATAAAATTTTTAATATATTTTTGTTACACTGATTCTGATGTAGTGTTTTTTCTGTTAAACACTTATCGTGCCCGGCGTAGCTGGGTACTCCTACCGAAATCAGTGGCCTACTAATGATGACGGACCGAAGAGGCCGAAGTCGCGTAAGGCTCGTAGGGTCCCGGGTCTGAGGCGAAGCCCCAGCTAGGCGGAGCCTAGTAACTATATATACTTGAAAATATATTTTCTAAAAAATATAGTTTATAAAAACTAAAAAAACACGCTTTTAAACTATATTTATTTATCACTTTTTAGTTTTTTATGACATCGCTACCACAGACACGGAGTGTTTATTGTCAATTATGACTATCATTAGATATAATTTCTGTATTGTCAATTAGANATTATGACTATCATTAGATATAATTTCTGTATTGTCAATTAGAGTATTTATAAACTCACAGCAATGTGTCTAACTACCATTGATAATAAAGGCTATGTGATGAACTGCGTGATCTAAGTCTAAGTTCGATAAGTATTGTCAATAACTGATTGAACACTGACCACCGAGAAGATGGTCAAGTCCTCTTTTACATTTACACTATTCATTAAATAAACATTAAATATTAATACCATAATAATTTCTACAATTAAGGTATTTGGCAGTATATTCTTACTTTCTTGTGATTATAATGTTACATATAAATTCCTTAAAATTAAAATTTACAAAACAATTATAGGTTCATGATATCTGTATACCTGCGAATATCGTCATAAAAATACAGTTAGCTACCTGTATTTGTAATCCCTTTTTATTATACATGTATATTAACTCAAAAAAAATTGAATCTTTAAATGTTTATATCTAATAATAAAAAATAAAAATTTGTTTATATATATATATATTAGGGTGGTTCTTAAAATTAATGTAGTAATATTTAAAAATTATACATTCTCAATTAGTTTCAATACTTATAAAAATGAGGTACACAATGTTTCAGGTAAATCAGAAAAGATTAACCCGTGCCACAAAAGGCCTAAAGTTTGAAAACTCAAAAATTTTGAATAACCGTACATTTTTCATTGTTTTTTTAGTTTAGCGCGTGAAATAATGGATTCACAACAAAATTGTAAGAACTAAAATTGTTTAAAATAATATTTTACACAAATTATAATCTGAACAATCTTTTGATTTACTTATTATTTATGTATAAAAAGTCAATATATAAATTATTTTGTTGTTAAATACACAAAATAAAGTGAATGTTAGTTGTAGTTTTTCAAGTCGTGGTAATTTTCGTAATTTATCATAACAGCAATGTCTTCATTGCTGTCTTCATGTTCAAAATCTTGAATAAACTTTTATCAAACCATCAAGTCACAATTTATTACAAGAATGACTAAAAGACGATAAAGTCTGTAGTAAATATCTTAGGTAGTATTGAATTACGTCGATTTTAGTATAATAGAAGCTTTACAATAGTAGTAAGCAATTTTTGAACTCTTAAGCAACATAATAATTCCATATAAAAGGGAAATGTAGGGTAAGCAAATTAATAATGGCGGGAAAAAGAATATAAAAGAGAAACATGAAAAGTATAGGGGGACAAGACGGGGCGAGATGAGACTGGACGTTTTGCCGAAGAAACGTCGAGTTACGGATTAGGTCGTTGGTGTAAGAGTAACTTTATATTTTTGTAAGATTTAATTAATTTTTGTGTTAAATTATTATATTCAACATTATATTTGACTTTGTGTTTAATACGTTTCTTAAATAAAATAGCTATTTAAAAATCTGGGCTTAGCGCAAATATTTTATATTCACCGTGCTCTTAGAATTGTGTGTGTGTGTGCGGCTAGAGTCTAGGTTGGACTGCTGGTCCTTTAGTCAATCTTAATAATTAGTGTACGAGCTGGCTAGTGTTTGGGCTTAACCGTCCTTTAGTGGGTATAGTAAAAAGGTAGTTGTGCTGGTGGCTGACAAGGAGCCACCCTTCAGTCTGCTACTTTTAAGCTAGACTGTGCTGACGGGTCTAAACTCTACCCCTTTAGTAGTTCACTAATTTGAGAGATTGGGGCTGATCAGTTTATCCAACGGGAGGACTCGAGAAGAGCTTGAACGACGAACTCGTCGTCAATATACAAATATAAAAACATTAATTAATTTGTGTAAAACTTTTGTGTCTACGTTGGGGCACTACCGACGTACGACATAAAAATTGGCGCCCAACTCGAGGTTCGTACCGACACAACCCCTCGACGTTTTTTTCGTGGCATCGAGATTTGTGTGTGCGTGTAATTTCGCGTCAATAAGTTGATCCGACGATCATTACAATACAAGGATTACTTGAAACATTTAACCGGAAGACCCAAGGTTAGTGTAAAATATATTTATATATAATAATTTTATTTAGTTATTTAAAAATCTCCCAAGAGAGAAAAAAAAATGTATGCGTGTGTGTATAATTTACACAATAGTGTATAGGAAGCTATCAGTGTGGATTTCGGAGAGGCAAGTCCACAATAGACCAGCTCGTAACTATTGAACAGCTTTTGGAAAAGAAGTACGAGTACAGACAAAACATATGGCAAGTGTTTGTGGATTTCAAAAAAGCCTACGATAGTATCCATCGAGATAGTTTATACAATATAATGTATAAGTTCGGATTCCCTAAAAACTCATATCACTAACAAGAATGTGTATGAACGGGACTAGATACCAAGTGAGAGTGGATTGTACGGTGTCGGAAGAGTTTGAAGTAATGACAGGGCTGAAACAAGGGGATGCACCCTCACTATTACTGTTCAATATAGCACTAGACAAAGTGATACGCAGTGTACAAAATAATAAAGTTGAAATAAATATTGGCAAAACCACGCTAGATGTGCTTGGTTTTGCAGATGATCTGAACCTGGTGGGAGAAAACAAGGAAATGATTTTGCAAAACACGAGTACACTCATTCATGAAGCAAAAAAGATTGGACTAGAAATAAATGAGGAGAAAACCAAAGTCATGGAAACGTTAGCTGCTAGAGGTGGGGAGGTCCTTGCAGCAGATAACTACGTTTTTGAGAAAGCCCAAAGCTTCAAATATCTATGAGTAACAATTACTGGTAACAATGATTGGAGTGCTGAAATAACCAGTCGCTTGCTCAAAGCGGAAAGGGCTTTCTTTGCACTAATAAAATATTTCAAGTCAAAACTATTCTCTAGAGGAACAAAAGTACGTCTATACATGAGTATTGTGAGGCCGACGTTAACTTATGGATGTGAAGTATGGCCGATGACAGTACAAATTGAACAAAAACTCAGAACCTTTGAGAATAGACTATTAAGAGTAATTTGTGGACTAGTGTTTGACACCTCAACAGATAGATGGCGCAGAAGAAAAAACGCAGAAATAAGGGAAATTATCAAAGTGCCTTATATAACAAGCTATGTGAAGGATCAGAGAATTCAGTGGCTTGGACACGCGATGAGAAGAGAGGAAACAAATGAAGTAAGGGCGTCAATTGAATACAAACCAACAGGTAGAAGACCCAGAGGTAGACCAAAGAAACGATGGATGGATGGAATGCGCCAGGATCTAGAAAGACTGGAAGCAACTGATTGGGAGAAAAGGATCCAGGATAGGGATTATTGGAGGTCGGTGACAGTGGCAGCCAAAACTCTTGCAGAGTTGTGAAGGCACATAAGAAGAAGAAGATAATACGGAGTTAGAACAGTTAGGAAGAATAGACTTAGAACTAAAAATAAATAATTATTCATATTTCATTAATGCATATATAATTGTAGGGCATTCAAAAGCTACGTCAGCATTTAAAAATTATAACATTTTAAATACAAACGATATCGGTTTAGACAACGACGTAAGAAACGATTAGGCTACAATTATTAAAATATCTAACCATTTAAATTGTTTTCAGCGCGAACAAGCAAAAAAAATTAATTACGCGTTTTAAACATTTATTTACATCATATCCACTAAAAATAGGCTGTGCTAATGTTGAACCGTGCGAAATAAGGTTAAAATCAGACAAACCAATTTTTCAATCGCCATATCGTGTGTCTCCTTCTTAACGAGAAAAATTAAAAACTCTAATTGACGAAATGATAAAATCTGATATTATTGAGCCGAGCAGAAGTAA